ATATCCAGGGCTAAACTCAGAGCTGTGTCCTTTCCCGGGGCGCACATTATCTGACTGCCTCATCAGGAACGGGAAGTCAGTGCACTGTGATTGCTGAGTATCAGTTCTATTTTTTTTTTTCTACTAAGCAGGAAGTTCAAAATCTGCCAAGTTATTTTTAAAGAGGGTGAAAAAATAGGCATCTCATCAGCTTCTGCAGTGGCCCTGTCCGAAGGCACGTGCTGCTTTATTCACGGCATTGGCCAGGCCGTGAGGAGCGGAGGTGACGTGAAGTTCCACCAGGAGGTTTCTCTGTGCAGGAGGGGTATGAGCGTTCACATGCTCAAGTGGCAGCAAAGGACACATGGGCTTCAGTGCTGACTTGAGGAGGACAGCGACCCCAGATATTTCTGGAGGGGACATCCAACAATTTGTTTCATGTGCGGGTTTGTGACTACCCTCTCCACAGAGCCCTGGTCCTGGAGCTCTGACAGCTGGTTCTCAGGGGTCTGGACCCTGCATATGGGGCCTTGGATCTTAGATACACACTATGTGTGTCTCATGTCACACAAGTCACAAATGTGACTCCAACATTCCTGAGTGGACAAGGAATTTGGAAGAGCTTATACCTGCAACTCTTTGGGGAAATATCATATTATGTGAAAGGAAATCCTGGTGAAATTGGCTTCTACTGACTTAAATGTTTTTTTTTTTTTTCTTTTCTTTTTTTGAGACAGGGTCTTCCTCTGTCATCCAGGCTGGAATGCAATGGTGTCATCAAAGCCAACTCCTGCACTCAAGTGGGCCTCCCACCTCAGCCTCCTGAGTAGCTAGGACTACAGGTGCATGCCAGCACCCCTGCCTAATTTTTTTGTATTTTTCATAGAGACTGGTTGTTGGTGGTGGGGGTCTCCTCACGTTGCATAGGTTGGTCTTGAGCTCCTGTCCTCAAGTAATTCTCCCACCTCAGACTCCCAAAGTGCTAGGATTATAGGCCTGAGCTACCGTGCCCAGCTGAACATTTCTTGACTGTTGAGTTTGTGTGAGATACTGCAGTAGGAATTAGACTTGCAAAAGAGCTCAGTTTGGGTGCATTTCCCCATATCCCTTGGAATAAGTAGCAAAACCCTAGAGAATCACAAACCACCGTGGGAACTGCTGTAGTAGAAGGTTTTAAAAATGAAGTACAAAATCATTAGCCTTCCTTTCCTCGTATGAATTGTCACTTTTTCCTTCCCTTTGTTTAGTCCTAAAAGTTAAGAAATGCATTTTCTCTGCTACTAACATTGTGGGACCCATAAAAAAAAATCTCCTTTAATCCTCCCAACCTCACTTCTTTAAAAGAAGAGAATAAAAACTAGATCAAGTAACTTGCCCAGTGCCTCGGAGCTGCTCAGGGACTGAATCTGGCTGGAATGGGGGTTTTCAGGTCTGGGTTAGAGTCCAAAGCTCTGTGCTGCACAGAAGGGCCTCAGGAAATCTCCCTGAACAGAACCTGCCAAGCGGAGAAACTCAGGAACTGACCGCTTGGAGGCTGGCTCTGCAGGGCCAGTCGGAATGGGAGTTAGAAGCGGAAGGATGTGAATCCTTCTGTGATCATTCATCTGTGACCCACAGGGGCAAATGCAAGGTGGGGGTGGAGGGAGGTGAGCCCTGAATTCAGAAGCCAGAGAACCCAGGGCTGGTGAAACGGGATTTTCTCAAAGAACGTTTTATCCACGCAGCCTGGTGTTGTTAGCAAAACCACATGTGATGAAAGGGCCTGATATAACAACACCCGGTTAGGGTAGCACTTTCTGCGTGGGGCTTTACCAGAAGAAACAGCATGAGATCCAAAAGCAGAATCACAGAACAGGGAACACAGAAGAAAACTGAACTGTTGAATCTCAGGGAGGAATGATCTCAGAGGTCCTCATCTAGCCCCTGCTGTCTTGATGTCGACTGCACTGTCTTTGAGTTTCCACTTGGGCCCCTCTGGATGGGACTTACCCCTGATCTCCACTTTGGGTAGAGGATTCTGTTTCTGAGGAGCACGCGTGATGCTCAGAGATGGTATATGTGAGATCAAGACGTGGGGGTGGCCAAGGGAGTTAAGTAGGAGCCCTCGTTTTGCTGGGGCAGCTGCATGGACACACTCCTTTCAGTGTCCTGTGGCAAATGGAAGGGGTGGAGGGGACCGTGTGGCAGGCAGACTGGGCCCCCTCCTCCCCAGACGCGAAGGGGCCCTGGTACAGGCTTTGCTGAGTCCTGAATGACAAAGTGGCCTGCCAGACGAGGAGAAGGCAAATTCAGCAGCACACACTTTATCTTCCTAAAAGGAATAAATCAAATGGCTACTCACCCCCAGGCTACACAGAGGGTGATGTACAGTCAAAAATAAATTGACCTTCTGTTCTCCTAGCCTGACTCAGAGTTCTGGCCCGTGGCACTTAGTGGCTTCTTAAAGAAGAAACAGACCCAGATTGCTAAGCAGGGGTGAGCAGTCCTTCTTGGGAGGTGGGGGTGTGTGTGAGCCTCTCCCCACAGCTCTCGGAGGCCTTTGTGGACTAGCCCGGGCACTCATCTCCACACAGGCCTCGGCGAGCACAGGCTGGGCCAGAGCAGACCTGCTGGGGACTTGGTTTGACCTTAGTGGTGGTGACACTGGAAGAGAGCTGCTTGATGGTCCATGACCCGAGGCCCTGTCCCTGAATGCTGACACCCCCCACTCACATCAGCTTGTCCTGGCTCTTGGCCCGGGCACAGCATATGAAGATGGCTTGTTTTTCTCATGCCCCCATCAGAAAGCCTCATCAAGGCACACGAGTAACAGCCAGAACCCCACCCCCTGCAGGAGAGGTGGCTGCAGCAGGCAGAGGCACTAAGGTGGGGCCGGGTGGCAGCCTGTAGCTCCTGTGCCTGACCGGCAGCAAATCCCAGGGCACTGCCCAGAAGTGTGTGCAGTCCTGGGGACCAGACCTTGGTTAGTCCTCTGCCACACAGACAACACCAGGAACACCTTTTTTTGTTTTTTTAATCTAGTGTCTTTATTTCCCTCGACTTTTTCTTCAGGGCCACATTTTCCAAACTCTTAAGTGAGTGAAATTCTGAGGCTCGACCCGTTAGGTAAAGAACTCACTCCTACCATACAAACGATGTCCGGTTTGGGAAGATCATTTCTTTTAATGACAGAGAAAGCACACCAAACTATAACAGAAGCCCTGTTGGGAGTTGCCACTGTACAAATCAATGCCTGGAAGTCCTGAACTAGCATCGGACATTCACAGGGATTCAGCTGAGGTTAAGGAAACATCCACGCAGCATCTCTGAGGATCCGGAGGACAGAGGGAGGCAGATGCCAGCCACAACGCACGCGCAGTGTGTCTGTAACTCGGACACCTCCGCAGGCAGTATTTTTCCTTCCTTCCTCACTTGATGGTAGGGGCTGGGGGAAGTCTGCAAATGACCACGTGGCAGAGAGGCCTCGGGTATGAGCGCTGCAGAAGAGCCAGTACTGTAGACAGACAGGGCCCAGGTGCTCCACGGGCCACCCCCATGAAACCCCGTGACATCAGTCCTCTGAACAGATCAGGGAGAAATGACACAGAACAGCAGCTCCGTTAGAACCCAGGGTCTGGCACAGCTTCCGGAAGGCATGCTAGGAAATAAGTTTATAAACAAAACTTTGCCATCCCCAAGGGTAAAAGTCATTCTTCTAGTTTTTACTCCATGTACCTAGGCTTTAAATTAAAGGACGAGAACAAAGGCCGCAACTGATAAATTATTTGGAATATTGTGGCACTTCACCAATCTCCTTTGCTAGTAATATATGGCGGAGCTGACAGAACCCTGTTGATCTAAACTTTCATTATAATTAGCCTCTACTGTACACTCTTGGGATACAGAAAGAATCCATCTTATCATACATGTTTCGTCTTTAAAAATAATCTAACATAGTCATACTCTCTGGCTAGTAACAAACTATTAACATCTTCTGAGAATACAGAGAAAACTCTGGGCTTAAGGGTCAATTCTCTGACGTGCTCCCCCACCCCCACCCCTTCAGCATCATCTATGAATGAATTTCTGCAAAAGCATCCCAGAATCATCCATCATCAGGAGAAGAAATGGGTTATGTTGGTTTCACCAAATAGACTTTTAGCAAGAAGTGACAGAACATTTTTACCTTGGCAAAATGAAGCACAAACGTAACATCTCACAGGTTCAGGCCCATGCAAATGCATGTTTTGTTATGTGGGGGTGTGGCATCTCACCCCCAAACCACGATTGGCATGCAGGTTGTTTTCAACTATTGAATTAGAGATACTTATTGGCAGTGCACCTCTTTTGTGTAACCATGATCACTAAGGCAAGATTATTTCCCCTTGTATAGAATATCAGCAGTATCTTGTCAGATGCGTGTTTACACAGTGTGGACCTACGCCTAACTCTTTAAAAAGGAAGAAAGAAACCTCAAAACACAGATCCCTAAACACAATTTAGTTGAAAATGAACTAGTAAGCTTTTAGAAATATATTTTAAACTACAAGACTGCCCTGTTTTTAATTTTTTATGAACATTTTAAAAAGTTCCCGCCCCTAAAAATTTGCCAGATTATTTCCTCGTCATGGGTAACAGCCTCACCAATTCACTACCATGGTCGATGCTTGCTGAACGGCAGCTACCAAGGTCCTTAGCGCATAATACAACGTTCTTCCGGCGCGGGACAGTTCTCCGACTGTCAACCTGGGATCGGAGCGACGGTTTAGGCCTCAGTTCATCCACTTGAGAGTGGTCCCTGGCAGTGGGTGTTCAGCAGTCCCAGGGCGCCATCAGCAGGGGTCAGCTCGATCGCCCCAGGTTGCCCTTCAAGCTGTGGACCCAGTTGATCTGATCTTCAGACCAGTGGAATGTCCTTTGCTTCTCAACAAGAACACGTGGGAGCTGAATTTGCTTATTTAAGAGAAGCTGAGGCAGTAGAGGCAGCTCCTTGGCCCAGCGAAAAACAGACGCCAGGTGGAATTTGTACGTGTCTGTGTAAAGCCAGTTCGGCAGGAGATCTGGAAGGTCCCTGGGAAGCGTTTGCTGCTGTTGGACGTTTCATACAACAGAACCTTTAGAAGACGACAAGTGGATGGACTGAATCCTGATGGCCAACGTCCTCTGTAAGTCCTGCAGCACGTCCGGGCCCGTCCCTTCACCATTTTTGTCATATAGGAGCTGCTTGAATGCTTCGTTTTCGATGAGGACCATCATGTTTTTGAGAAAGTAGCCTTCACAGTACGCTGAGAGCTCTGTGACCCCAAGAAACTGTGCAGAGTGGAGAGGAAGCAGGAGATGGTTAAGTTCTGGAATGTTCTCCCAAACAGCGCCTTCAGATATAACAATGGCGGACACCAGCAAAGGCAGACTGACTCCAGAAAAGGCCCCGACTCTGTACCCTTTGCTGTAGAACGCCCTCGGGGGGTGACTCTGCAGCTCATCAAAGGACTAGAGTCCCTTCCTCCACTCTGTGACCTTGTGTAAGTCACAACAGTTCTCTGTGCCTCAGTTTCCCAAGTTACAAAATGAAAAGGGTGGACAAGAGGGTATCTGTGCCATTTAGGACAGGGACACACGAGGTGATTCTGTGGTCTCCAGGAGGCTTATGAAGCTTGATGAGGTTTATCAGTGAGAACACCTGTTATCCCACAAGCATTCACAGGGATGCCCAGAATCCTGGCTCTGGGAGAGCTGTTAGGAATGCTTTCATTCAATATGAGCCCGGCTCTTAGAATCACAGAGCACAAGGCTTCCTTGGCAGGTGGGGAAACTGAGACTCAGAGTTGCCTGTCTCTGATTCTGCGGCCACAGTGAGCAGCCCTCCCTTCACCCCACCCCACCCCACCACCGTACACCTGGCACTTTTTTGGTAGATGAGTGTCACTCAGTACAAGTTAGTGTGAGTGGAGAATAACAAGCATAATCAATACTTACATGTCTAATATTTGGTAATATTTTTGACTATACCAGCCACTTAGCTATCACCACCACCACTAATTACTGACAGACCTGGGACTGGAGCTCCCAGCTACTAGACCAGCAGTTGGCCAACTGCTGTTGGACCTCCAGGCCAAATTGGCCTACCCCCTGTTTTTGTAAATAAAGTTTTATTGGAACACAGCCATATCATTCATTTACCTATCACCTATGACGGCTTTTTTTGCCAAGTTGAGTAGGTACAAAAGTGACCATATGGTCTGCAAAATTGAAAACATTTATCTGGTCCTTCACAGAACTGACCCTTGCCCTAGACCAGTGCTTCTCCACCTTCCTAATGCTGTGGCCCTTTAATACAGTTCCTGTGGATTGCGACCCACAGGTTGAGAACCGCGGCCTTAGACTATAATTTTTACCAGGGCAGAGACCACATCTTATTAGTTTCTTATTCTGTTCTGATGAACACAGCTCCTAGTAAATAGTGGGTGCTCAATAAACAGAAGTGAACCCTGGTCTCCAAACCTGTGTCCTTCCCATCATGGGGCCCTGTTGAGCTTACTGCATCAGTTGAGACTCAATTTGATGAACCAACTTGTTCTTTTCCTTGAGTTGAGAGACATCCTGGAATGGCCATCAAAAGCTCTAGGGCAGTGGTTCTCAACCTTCCTAATGCCCCAACCCTTTAATACGGTTCCTGTGGGTCGCGACCCACAGGTTGAGACCGCTGCTCTAGGGCCTCTTTTCATGACTGACTAGCTTGGAAGAGCTTTACTAGGAAAAGGAGATGTCTAAGTTGTGCTTTAGGGGCTGGATTTGTCATTTCTGTAAAATTCCATGGCTGTCTCAAAGAGTTAGAAGTACAGAGGCAATGTTGCTGAGGTCCTTGCTGACATCTGGAACATGGCTGTTAGCATCTAAATGCCTGTATTTTCTGGGGTTCCCAACCAAGTGTTGGTTTCTTTCTTTTCTACTCTTTTACTAAACTAGCCTCCATTTGCAGCACAATCTGCCAGTAATAGACTCCACATGGCATGTGGTCACAGGTGGGGCTGTGGCACCCATGGCACGGAGGGAAGCAGTGCCCTGCCCTCCGTGCAGATGAGAAGGGTAGATATTTCCATTAGAAACACTCCAGGATGTGGCCTAGAGGGCCAAGGCAGAGGCTGGTGTCTGTGAAAGCCAAAGCCCTGACTGTAGCGGTCAGTCAATGAGAGAGACAGTTTCTAAGACTGCCACAGAACGTTCTAAGATGCACCCCCAGCTGGGGCTCACATTGCACCGGGATGCAATATTAAATAATGAGCTGCACCAGAAACGCTGTGTGCCAAGGAGCTTGAAGAGGTCAAGGTGGGATTTTGGAACACCAGCCTTTTGACCACGGTGGCAGGTCACGGAAATGCCACTTGTGGATGTCAGGTTCACGGGGCAGTTTGAGTGCCCGTGGCCAGGAAGGAGGGCCGGGGCCCTTGAGGCTAACTGGGCTCTCTTCCTGGTACAGAGAGTTTGTCCAGATGCTCTTCTGCGAAGTAATCAGTTTAAGATAAAAAAAAGTTGCTTGTGTCCTAGAAAAACGATTTTGGCATAATCCGTACTTAACCACAACACCCTGTGTGTGTGTGTGTGTGTGTGTGTGTGTGTGTGTGTGTATGAAGTAGACAGTCCTTTCTGGTTCACTGATGCCTAATCAGAAAATCTTTTTTGAGTATGAGGATTATTGAAAATATTTTAAACACTGATCAGGCAAGACAGCAAACACAGGGTTAAGAACCTGGGCTTTGGAGTGAGGTAAGTCTGGGTTCAAATCTCAGCACTACACACCTAGGAATAAACCCCAAAGAACTGAAGCTGAGACTTGGAGAGACATTTGTACCACTGATAGATGAATGGATGCACAGACTATGGCATATACACAGCCTGGAGTGTTACTCAGTCTTGTGAGAAAGGAAATTCTGACACATGTTACAATGTGGAAGAATCTTGAAGACACTATGCCAGAAATAAGCCAGTCACAACAGGACAGGTACCGTATGAGCCCACTCCTAGCAGGTCCCTAGGTCCTCACATTCACAGAGACAGGAAGTAGAATGGTGGTTACCAGGGTCTGAGGAGGGAGATGGGGAGGTAGCGTTTAAAGGGTGCAGGGTTTCAGTTTGGGAAGATGGAAAATTTCGGGAGCTAGAGGTATGTGATGGTTGCACAATGATTGGGTTAAAGTGGTAAAATCTTTTTTTTTTTTGATCCAGAGTCTCACCCTGGGTAGAGTGCAATGGCCTCATGGCTCACAGCAACCTCAAACTCCTGGGTTCAAGTGATTCTCTTGCCTCAGCCTCCCAAGTAGCTGGAACTACAGGCGCTCACTCCAAGGCTCAGATAGTTTTTCTATTTTTAGGAGAGATGGAGTCTTCCTCTTGCTCAGGCTGGTCTTGAACTCCTGAGCTCAAGCAATCTGCCTGCTTCAGTCTCTTAGAGTGCTAGGATTACAGGCATGAGCCACTGTGCCTGGCCTAAAGTGGTTAATTCTGTTATTTATATTTTACCATAATAGAACAAAGTTTCTTTACTAGCTGTGTAACCTTAAGCAGCTTACTTCGCTTCTCTGTGTCTCAATTCCTTATTATTACACAGGAGTAATGATGGCATTCCCCTGAAAGTGTTGGGGTGAGGATTAAAAAGACACAGCACAGGTGCCTGCACATTAAAAGGGCTCGCTGAATGCGGGCGTGACACAAGCAAGTGACATCTCACATGCTGTTTGGCTGCTTACAGAGCAGTGAGAGTATCAGTTGTCACTTAATAGAGCTTGGACACGGGGCATGTGTACCGAGTGCTAGTTATAGAAAGGAAGGAAATTTTGTTCTGAAATAACTCCCCATCTAGCTGGTTTGTTGGAATTGCCAATCCCACTGTGCTCACACATGAAACAAAATTTAATGGAAAGTAGACCCATATATTTTCCTTCTCTTGGGCCCAGTCTCCCACTTGTGGAATGAAATGGATGAAATTGGTGGTTCCTAAAGTTTGGCCTTGAGGCTGATGTCTCTCTGGAGCTTGTTATAAATACAGAACCTGGGGTTCCCCGCAGGGTACTGCTGTGGTCGTTGTGGCGGTGGGGACTGCATGGGCATTTAGGAAGCTCCCTGGGTGACTGTGATTAGTAGCCAGGTGCAGGGAGCACCTGTGTGGATGCCAACGCAGCCTCCAGCACTGACGGCCTGTTCTCAGCCTTGGCTACAGCTCAGCATCACCTGGGAAGCTTTGAAAATTACCTTTCCCAGGCTCCAGTCCCAGAGGCTGATTTACTTGGTCTATGATCGGTCCCAGGTGTGGGGATTGAGAGAGTGCCCAGGTGATTCTAATGCACAGCTGGCATGGAGAACAATTCTAGAATTATGGTTCTCCCCCTTGAGCAGCATTAGAATGAGCTGGAGGCCTGGGACGCCCCAGAGGGTTAGGGCCCCAGAGGTTCTGATTCAGCAAGTGGTGGGTAGGGCCAGAAAATTTCTATTTCTAAGAAGTTCTGCAATGATGCTGATGTTGCTGGATTGGAGAACAGTGTTTTAGGGCCTTAGAAGGTGTCGCATAGACCAGCAGCAGAGACTTCACCCAGGAGCTTGTTGGAAAAGTAACACCCAAGGCCAACCCAGGCCTGCAGGCTCAGAGTTTGACAAGCACTCTGCTTTATGGAACTTCCTTGTATTCTGGAGGGGAGGAAAGAAAGGGAAGGCTTTTTTTTTTTTTTTTTATAGTTTTTGGCTGGGGCTGGGTTTGAACCTGCCACCTCCAGTACATGGGGCTGGCACCCTACTCCTTTGAGCCACAGGGGCTGCCCAGGGAAGGGGTCTTTTCTAGAGCAGAAAGCAGTCCCTGCAGGAGGCCAGTGCTCAGCCCTGAGTGAACAGGCCCAGCCTCGGCTGTCCCGCTCTGGGTCTGCCACGCCTCCCATCCCCGACGCTGCCTTTGTATCCTGGTGTGAACACCTGGCAGGGAGAATGGGCCTGCTTACCTTGGCGTGGTTGTAAATATCCACGCAGTTGTCGGTATTGATGCTTTTTGCACAGATGATCTCACAGTGTCGCTGCAGAGCTTCCAGCTGGAAGAACTTAGCGGCAGACAGAAGCTGGAAACCATAAAAAAGAGTGTGAGGGGCTGAGGGGTGGACGGAAAGAAGTAACAGCGGGGAAATGCCCTGGTGACCAAATCTGCCGCTACCACAGCAGTGTCACAAGTGAGGGCACTAGAAATAAAGTGCAAGAATAACAATGATGAGACTCCCCTGTGGGGGAGGGAGGGAGGGGGGTGAACTAAGCCAGGGTCACATGTGCCACCACAGAAGGGCAGCTCCAAAATGCCCCAAATTGTTAGGTCCAGGAATAAGGGTGAGAAGAAGGGTATTATTAGCAAGACGGATATTGACCCAGCACACTTCCTCTGCTGTCCAGGTCTCTGCTTAGGTGTCACCTCCTCAGAGGGGCCTCGGGACCACCCCGCCCTTGGCCTCCCTCCACCGTCTCGCTCCTCACACCAGACATGACGTCATGTCTGTCTCCCTCACCGGAGTCCAGGAGGACAGGGATCTTTGTCCCTTTCCATCACTGCCGTATCCCTGTGCCGCCATGGCAGAGGCTCGACAGAGGTGTGTTGAGGGAGTGACAGGCTTTGGTGAGGGAAGAAGGAGCTGAGAGAAAGAGTTCAAAGTTCTGCCTTGGGGGACAGACTGGGGCTGGGGTGGCCACACTGTAGGACAAGCCCTCCTGCGTGGTTTAAATAGGCATTCTTTTGCTTTTAAAATAATTAAATTTTCAATTTAATTTTTGTCAAGGTAACAGAAGCAGTGGCACGAGTGGAGAAAAAAAAATCTGTAACTGGTTGTGATCAAGTAGTTGTAAAGACTAGCGCATTTGGACATGCTTAAAATAATTTTAAAAAGTCAGTAACTCTGAGTGTGTGTGTGTGTATGGGGCAGGGGGAGTGGCTGCAGAGGTTTCCCAGATGAAGAAATAAAGGACAAGTGGCCCATGCAATGGATACACAGCTCTAATAACACCCACTATGTGCCAGGCACTGTTCCAGGCATAGGAACTTTGAAAGTTCTCTCAAAAACCCCGTAAGGTAACTATTATCTCCATTTCAAACAGGCGAGGAAACCGAGGCTCAGAGAAGTTAACGTGTCCAAGGTCACATATCTCAGACATGTGAGATAGGCCCCGAGTACAGGCTTTCACCACTGTGGGGATGGGCAACTGATCACGTCTTAACATCTCTAGTTAGCCAGGCCCCTTGAACTTCAGACATTTCAAATTTCTTTTGCTGAGGATTACTGGGGTGATTTTTTGGCTTCTGGTTCAAGGCTCCCAGCTTTGATTAGGAAAACTGAAAAGAGTTCAACTTCTGGAAAGGAGCAGGGGAAATCTTGGCCTTGGACAGAAGGGAGCAGAAACTAGTGTCCTGGGCAAGGGAGGTGAATTACAGGAGGTGAACAGGAAGAGCCTGGGGAAGAGGAGAGGGCGGGCGTGGTTAGGAGTGTGCTGTGTGGCCAAGGGACGGTCATCCTGACGAAAGCCTGGTGAATCTGCCCTCAGCTTCTGAGTCTTGGAAGAAGGGACAGCACTGTGATTTGATGGATGTTTTTAGGGATTCTAATTCTTTTATAAATGACAAAAGAGAAGAAATCATTTGGGACATTTCCTGATGACACTATTAGAGCCCCAGCTTTGCCCAGGCTAGTGCCCCAGGCTTTTCAGTAAATTTTCTTCCCGGCTTCCCCTCTCCATGTCAGTTACAACCGGGTTTCACCCAGGGGCTACTGAAGGGATTGAGGCAAACACACTGGCACCCCCATTCTTCCAGGGAAGGGCTTTCATGATGAGAGGCCCTTCCTATGTGGGAGGACTAAGCAGGCAGGAAGGAGCAGGAGCCCAAAGCCTTAGCGAGATGAAGACTGGCCCCAGTCCCTCTAGACAACACTGATGTGCTGTCACCCCAGGGTAGCAGGGACAGGCCCATGGCAGGACGGATTCCTTACCTCCATTATCTCGTTGTTTTTAATGAGAAGTGACTCTGGGCCACCGTAGTAGAGATACTGCATGACCAGCTGGAAGAAAGGAACAATAAAGAGTGTCAACGGCATAAACACAGTCATCTTAAAGCCATCCATAACATCTTGATCCAAGCTAGTTGGTTTTCTTTTTTAAAAGACAATGTCTTTCATTCTGTTGCCCAGGCTTGAGTGCAGTGGAATCATCATAGGTCACTACAGCCTTCAATTCTTGGGATCAGGCAATCCTCCTGCTTCAGCCTCCCACCGTGCCCAGCGATCAGGTTAGTGCTTGAGACCTCCAGTTATGAGTGGCTGCTGGTGTCCATCTGACCACATCCTAGGACCCAGGGCTCACTACCTTAAGGGGAGAAGGTCAGAGAGTACGTCCTGTGGGTTTCCAGACTCAGGTTCTATGGCCCATTCCCAGGGCCAAATTAAACAATCCTAACCTTGCTCTCCTGATAGTTTTCCCATCTATGGATGATAATTACTGACTGCCCTCCCCCCTTCCAGCCTGGGCATGCTGTCCAGAACAGCTGCACATGTGGCATGGCCTACAGAGCCTACACCAGCAGGTCATTACCTGGGAACACGGCCTCATTTGACTCAAAAGCTCTTGCTGAAGTCCCAGAGAGTGACTCTGGGATCCCATGAGATCTCACGAGATCCCTTCTGCAACTTGACAATATCCAAGATGAAGCCAGTAGGGCCTTAGGATCTCTGCGTTTGCCTCATCTTGTGAATGGTCCGAGCCAGGCTGTTCTGTGTTCATGTGACTCAGGACATCTGAATGGGTGCTAAGTTCCAGAGCTTTACAAAGTGGTGTCCCTTGAATGCTATGAGGCCGGGACGTGCCTGAATTTGCTGTCGCCCCCTCCAAACACAACTGAGTGTTAATGTTTTAGGTGGTGGGTGCACTCTCCAGCTTGTCCCAGCCTCCCCCAGTCCCTGTTGTCAGCTACCCTGGCCACAAACTGATGTCACTTCCTGGCTTTAAGGCAGCTGTGTTGGCAAAATCCATAGACCCCTTTTTTGGGTACTTGTAAAATGACGAGCTTGGATTGGGCTACTCTCTATGGCTCCTTCAGGCTCTGATAGTCTATGACCAAAATAGGACAGCAGTGACCCTGGAGTGGGGCTTTCTCCCTTTCTGATCTCTGATCTCTGCCACTTAAAAGCTGGGTGACCTGCATTACATCGGGCTCTGGGCATCTCCGTCTCATCACGCGTAAAGTGGGAGTAAGACCCCTGGGGTTATGAAGAGGATGAGATGAGTTACACAGAGCCTGGCTCATGGCAAGTGCTCACCTCTTTAATCTGCTGCTGCTCTCTCCCCAGCCCATTCGAGAGCCTTTGCGATTGGTCTCAATCTACTTTTTGCATGTGTGTGTTTAAATTATTTAAAAAATATATTGTTTACAGCTTCCATTAGATATACACGGTAGACATAAAGATTATGTCCAATTTAAAATAGTTCAGCATAGTACATTGCATAAGAACTTTATGTCCACACTGTTTTATGTAACAAAACGCACCTGTGTAAAGCAGGCTGTGCAGTGGATTTTAGCATGTTCACAATGGGATGTGACCATCACCCCAATGTAAGTTTAGAGCGTTTTTAAAACCCCAGCAAAGAAACTCTGTATCCGTTAGCAGTCAGCTGCACCCCCCTTGTCTGCCAGCCCAGATAGCCGCCATGCGTTTGCCTGTGTGGACCTTTCCTATACACGGAATCCTACAGCACGTGCTCCTTTGCGTCTGGCTGCTTCTACTCATTAGGACGCGTCCAGGTTTCCCCAGTTGTTACTGGCATCAGCACGTCATTCTTTTTTGTAGCGGAACAACATCCTATTGTGTGGATCGTCCACATTTTGTGCGCCCGTTCTTTAGTGGATGGACATTGCGGTTGCTTCCACTTTGGGCCATTATGAAGATGGCTGCTGTGGATCGCTGCGTGTCAACTTCCTTTCTTGGGGAGTTCATCTTCCCCCTTGCCTTTCCCTGCTCCTCATCCTGATCTCACCTGCCTTTTGTGCAGGAGTCCTCAAACTTTTTAGACAGGGGGCCAGTTCACTGTCCCTCAGACTGTTGGAAGGCTGGACTGTGGGCCCCAGGACGAGTTGGCTGCTAAGCAGGACAGGCAGTGGCAGCAAAAACACTGGCGGGCCAGATAAATGTCCTAGGTGGGCCGCATGTGGACTGTGGGCCTGTGCTCTGACCCCTCCCAAACACTTGCCTGTATCAGAACCTCCCACCCTCTTCCAGCCCCAGGCTTTTGCCTGCACTGCTCCCTGTGCTAGGGTGCCTTTCCCTCCTCTGATCTCGCCCAGTGGTCAGCCCGCTGGGAAGCCTCCTGAGATGCCTTCACCACCGCACTGCAGTGTTGCTTCTCAGTAGAGTTTGAAGGCACAGACTGGGTCTTACTCACTGCCGAGTCTCAGTGTCCAGCACACAGCAAGCTGACGGCATGCAGTGTGCACACTTTTAACAGAAAGTGTTTGTATCTCCCATAGACCCACTTCGGGTTTTTGTGACCACCTGCTCGTTGCAGAGATGGTGGTGTGTTGATGGCGGCGGAGCTGAGGCTTTGTGAAATAGCACAGCATGGGTTACTCTGCCCTGTCTCACCCTGATGGTTCATAAGCATTTGAAATACCAAGTCAGCAAATGTTGGGTTATTGTCCTTATAAAAATCAATTTATTCCCTTAGTACTTCTCATTTATAAAGGCCAAACCAATAACAATAACAACAAGACCATTATGATGACCGCCCTGAACACTGGGCCTCTCCATTCTCAAAGCACTTCTTATCATGCTATTTATTTATTCCAGGTTGGGCTGTTGACATGAAATCCTGCTCCTCAGCAGAGGGAGATCCCGGGGCTAATGGAATTTAAATTGGGCTGTCCCATGCCACCTTCAGACTCTGCCAGCAAAAGCCCTTCTGCAGGGGAGTGAAGCAAACCCTTATTAGGCCTGTTCACAGAGCTGTTTTTCTTGGCAGCTGCCAACATGCGTGGAGCACGGACTCAAATGGCACCCCCAGCCTCATGGAGGCCCCCTGCTTCCAGGTGCAGCCTCAGCTGCGTCCGGCCCTTGCCTGAGTATGACGTTAAACAGACTTGGGGGAGGAAACCCAAAGCAGGCTCATTTACTAAAATTCCTCCGTCAGCATGGACTGGAAGAGAGCAGGCCCCTGGGAGCCTCCTTCTGGGCCGTACTCAGCTCTCGTTGGTCTATTTCAAGCCACAAATGAGGCTTCTCTTCTTTTATGAGGAAGGGGCAGGCACAAGAAAAGTCCCCAGGGCCTGTTAAATCTTCCCTTCCCATTACAGTTACTTGAGGCTAATGTGGCTAGGAAACATTCCCCAGTCAAAGGCAATTACAGGCTTCGGATTCTCCCCTAGGCTGCCCTTTCCCATGTAGGTCTCTCGTTCAATGAAGTCACCTGGCAAACGTTTATTGTGCCTACTATGAGCCAAGTTCCTACTACAGGGCCCTCCCCCATGAGTCCCCTTCTCGAGTACTCAGAGCTGGGGCAGCGATTTCCAGCATTCAGCTCATGCTCCAAACTCTAATGGGCTGGAAGATTCTCTCTTTAGGGCTGTGTGAATTTAGCACAAGAGCAGTGATGTTCACATATAGTTATAATTGTTCTATTTTATTATCATTTACTGTTGTCAATCTCTTACTGTTCCTAATTTACAAGTTGAACATTATCATAGGTATGTATTTTTAGGAAAATCACAGTATCTATAGGGTTCTGTGCTATCTGCAGTTTCAGGCATCCCCGGGGGGTCTTGAACATACTGTGTGGATAAGGAGGAATCACTGTATCATAAGTGGAAGATTCTTGACTCTGAGTCCCTGGGATAGGATGTCCTTTACCCTCTGCCCTCAGCCCCCAGCACAGTGTCAGGTTCAACAGGTGCTCTGTTAATGCTGCAGGACAAATGGAAGGAAATGAGAGGGGAGTGTGAGCCTCAGGTTCAGGAGGCTGACGGTGTGTTACAGCGACTTCTCCAGGGGGCAAACCACAGGCTCAGGACCACAGGCAACCAACGCGGGTGCCCTGCGCCCACAGGCACAGAGTCCAGGCCATGCCCAGGGCTCACCTGAAAGATGGGGTACTTCACGTAACCAATTTCTATGCAGGTGCTGTCATTTGTCGGCTTGCTGGAGAGGAGCGCTTTGAACCTGACAATGACACAGAGAGGGAGATGAAAGGACTCACACACACATCCATGGCTTGCCAAAAAAATTCAGTTCTCCTGATAATGGAAATCTCCCCACAACTCTGAAATACAGCAGTGATAAGTGTGTATCCATACATTTCTTAATTCAAACCCCTCCTGTTACACCATAATATAATTTGAAATTAAGATTCTAACGTTAAACACAGTATTTTGAACCCTTCCTCCCTCCCTCTCTTCCGAAATAAATTTAGTATTTCTCTGTCAATCACACTATGTCTTAAACTGGTGGTTGGATGCCTTGTTGGACACCGTATGTGTCTTGGGGCCTGGCACATGGCTGCCTCCTTCAGGGCATCCTCCCTGACTTCCGGTGATGGCTTCACTGCCCTCTGGTGCCCAGGGAGCTTCCAACTCCCCTCTCCCTCCTCCTACCCAAGCCTTGCTCCATGAGGGCAGAGACTTCAGTGGTTTCTGTCTCTGCTGTAACCCCAGAGCCTGTATGAACCTGATATGTGACAGGTATTTCATCAATGTTTACTGAGTACGTAAGGATCTCCCTCAGGGATGGCCTCCTGTCTTGGGTTTTAATGTTCTTTTATGCCCGTCAACTAAAGTGAAAGCTCCTTGTGGGTAGAGATCCTATCAATGGGACGCACTGATAGTCAATACATGTTGGAATAAGCTAACTCAGTTTTGCAATTATAGATTTACAGAAGAGTTCCAAAGATAGTACAGAGAGTTCCTATTTACCCTTCACCCAGCTTCCTCTAATGTTAACAACTTAACACAGCCTTGGAATCTTGTCAAAACTAAGAAATTAACATTGGTATAGTATCTATCTGGTTTACCTATGGTGTCACAGGCAAGAACTACGGTATCCAGGAGAGAGCATATTTTTCTTGTGGTGGCAAAGTGGACATCTGGGGTGCTCAGAAGACATCTGAGAAGCGGGCATTGGAGATGCCACGATGCTTTTAGGAACCCAAGGAGTTCTGGTCACACATATTTCCTTAGAGAATTTTCCATTTCTGGGTTCCCGTGTCCTTACAAGAGGTCCCAACTCAGGTGCCTCCTGCTGTCCCTGCAGAAGATTGCCTCTTCCTCAGTTCAGCACCACCCTCTCCCATGCCCACCCTCACTGTTCCCTGTTCAGGTCCTCGGATAATGTGGTTCTAAATTGTCAACCCAATCTCAGGTCCAGTTAAAAAGAAGAGAAATGGTAGTCACAAAGCTAGCAGGGAGGGTTAGCAATTTCTCATTCCTACTACTACACATCTGTGAACTCTACAGTTAGGAAAAAGTAAGGTCAGAACCTGTGTACTTGGGTGGCTTATGCCAAAGTCTCGTCTCTGACATTTGCAGAGAGGGCTTCTCAGGGCACCTGTGTATGGGGTCTCAGGTTGCGCACTGCACAAGGGCGCCGGGCTGAGGAAGCCAAAATCCAATTCTGGCCTTGCTCCCAAAGATCTGGCCTTAGTGTAGGATTTTATTTGCCCAGAGGAAGGGGTGCTTTGTTCTAGGTTGTTTACACCAGTGGTTGCCCAATATTCTTGGGTCCTTGATTTTATGAAGATAATCTGCCAGTGCAGCGAAGATACCACCAAAATTAAACTTTAAAAAATAGTAACAGCAACAGCCACGGTTATAACTCTGCTGCTTTCAAAACCGATGATACATACCTTGGAGAGGCTGTAAATAACAGCACTTTGTGAGCATAAAATGGTCTTCCTTCTACCAGAAAGGTAACATCAGACATTTCTTTATTGTTAAGAAAATGAGGATCTAGAATAGGAAAGGGAAAAAGGGTGGCTTTAGTGGAAAAGAGGGTGAAGTTCAGATTTCTCTTGTAGAAAGTGCAAACAAGAGCAGACAGGAAAACTGTAGCAATAAAACACCCCCTGGCGAGACAGCAACTGAACAGGAGGCAGGATCCCCCGGAGGAACCCACAAGTCTCTAAGATCCAGTTTTTCATAGGGAATCTTTATAGCCTGTTTGTGATTAAAAGTAGCACAGTAAGACTCACCCAGAGCCAGAGTTCAGACAACTTTCAAGTGTGAAGGGCAAATACCTGCCACCTTGTCTGGAAGAACAACGGTCGCCCCCACCTCTGCTCTTCTCTCTCAGCCCCCAGTGCCCTCCCTGCCTGATGGAAGGGGTTTAGCAGAGCTGCCCCCTCTGTGCTCTAGGTGATTGAATCTAAGCCCTTCTCTCCTAGAGTCAGGGGCAAATGAGCCAGTCCCCTGCCCTCATCTCCTACAATAACAAAGATTTACTAGTGCTAATACCTACGATGTGCCAGGCACTGTGCAAGCTGGCAGAGACCATATTATCCCCGCTGTGCAGATGAGGAGACTGAGAAGTTATAGTGACTTGTTTGAGCTAGTGGCAGGTGAAGAAGCCAGGACTTGAACTTGGACATTCTGATTGGACAGCAGGCTTTGTTAAACACTCAGGTCTTCCCATTTGCCACCATTTCAGCTATTTAGACAGCAAGCTCCTGGAGGGGCCAGTCTGTCCTCAGCTCAGCATTTCTGACTTGTTGGGAATATCCACCAACACTCTCTACCTTCCTCAGTCTTTCTTGAATCCTCCATTTATCTCCATCCCCTTTGACGCTGTTAGGCCACAGGGCAGTAAGGAGGCCCTAAAACAATGAAAACATTCTACCCGCATATCAGACTCTTGCACCTGGAGGCAACACCCTACTCCCTCCCTACTCCCTCATACCCGTGCTAAAAATAACCGTCGCAAAAAGTCCCCAGAGCAAAACTGCCCAGCAACCCTGCAAGTTATAAATTCCCCAATCACCAACCGCCTCAGACCCTAACGCCCCCTCACCCCCCCTGCATGTAGTTTTTCGCTTTAAAAGCAGCTTGTAACAGCCTCTCGGGGTTCCTTCCCCCTTGTGGCTGAGGAACCCTGACGCGCCAGCAATAAACCTGCCTCTTGCTTTTTGCATCGATTTGTGATTGTGAGTGGTCTTTGGGTAGGCGACCCCCGGGGTGGGCACAACAACGCTACCCTAGTTGAGGCCACATCATCTCCAGGAACCCTCTGCCTCAGCCTTCGCCTCACCCCCCCAGTCTGATGTCTCGTGTCACTGCAGGAGTCATCATCCTTCCAGAGCTGATCACACCTTCCTTCCTCTGCTATAAGCTCCAAGGCTTCCAGGATAGGGTCCAGGCGTCTTTTTTTTTTTTGGTTGCAGCCATCATTGGAGGTCTGGACGTCTCAACAAGGCCATTGTGGTTGGACTGCACAGGCTTCTCAGCCTCTCCCTAGTCCCAGCCCCCTGTTATTCTCTGTGTGTGCTTGAGCCATGTGTGGCTGTTCTCAGTTCCTCATAGGTGCCATGTGCTCTCAACTCTGGGCCTCCGTGCCCACTGTTACATCTACCTAAAACACTCTTCCAGCCCCTTCCAAACCTGGCTCATCCCTATGTGGTCTTCAAGTTTCAGCACAGAAAGCCTCTATCAGTAAGCCTTGCCCAAGTACCCCGTGCCCCACACCCGATTGCCTGAGTATCAGCTGTGTCGGTGACCTTGTCTGTCCCTTGCACACCCTTTCACCTGTGTCTAGCATAGAAAGGTGGTGGAGTATACTAAGAATGTGGGCTCTGAAAGCAGAGATCCCAGCCATGTAAGCTTCAGCAAGTTACTTATCCTCTCTGTGCCTCAGTTTCTTCTTCTGCAAAATGGGACTGGTGACACCTATTATTATTATTCATAGAGTAATAGTGAAAATTAAAAAAAATTACGTGAAACACTTAGCAACATGGCTGACACACAAGTTTCCCCTCAAGAAACGTGACCATTCTAGCAGATGCCCAATTACTATGTGTTAAAACAATTTTTTATTTTTAGTTATTATGGGTACATGATAGTTGCATATAACATTTTTTGAATGAATGAGAGAATGCCGAGTGTTGGTTCAGAGTCTCGTTCTAGGAGTCCGCTGAGGACATCGGCCCCTTCTTAGCCTAGAGGCCTGTTTGCTATCGATGGGCCCTTCCCGAGGAGGTCAAGGGCGGTCTTGAAATGAAACCCAGCTGCTTCCTGTGGCTGGGTTTAGGAGGCCTATGCTGTTGAGGGTGGGAACTAACCCCTTGGATTCCAGTGGCCTCTCAACTGTGGGGCCCACGCTGGCTGACTATACCTTAGGTCTCTGGCCTAGCCCCATTTTTCCCAGACTGCTATAACTTGGACCTGAATTTGTCTTCCTGGCTGATTCTCTTCACCTGACCCTTGACGGTGAGATGGCCTCCTTGAGCCCTGTGCTGCCCCAGACTGGTGGCTGTGGTTGTCATCCAATCATCTTCCTCTGCCAATACATAGCTACCTCACCTCTTCCCATTTAAAAAAAAGGCTTTGGCTTTGATGCCCCATGACTGTAATCCCAGAGCTTTGGGAGGCTGAGGTGGGAGGATCACTTGAGGCCAGGAGTTTGGACCCATCTGGGCAACACAGCAAGACCCCGCTCATAAAAAAGAATTGGCTGGCCACAGTGGCAGATACTTATAATCTCAGCTCCTCAGGAGGCTGAGGCAGGAGGATCCTTTGACCCCAGGAGTTCAAGGCTGCAGTGGGCAATGATCAAGCCACTGCACTCAAGCTTGAGTGACAGAGCAAGACCCCTGTCTCAAAATAAAGGCTTTTATTAAAAAAAAAAAAAAAAAATATATATATATATATAAAAGTCAAAATCTGAGATCTCACTCTCCTTAAAACTTTTAATTAACAAACATCTGAAACGTATCCCAGCTTGAAATGCTGTCCTGGAGATGCAAACAGTACCTGCTCACTTGTTAATCATCACACAGTGCCCTCTTGCATATCATGAGCTTTGAGCCTTTCTGTTTTCTCTCCTGGTGCTAACTCTTGGAATCCTAATGCTTGGCCTGAAAACCAGGCACTTTTAATTGCTGGTGAGAGAAATCTCAGCAAATTCAGAAGAAAATGTTCCCTCCCCTGAAAGCAGATTTCAGGCTGTGCACACGTTGGCTCTACAGAGCGTGTCTCTGAGGCACCTCGAATCAGAGATTGCTGCTACTCTGTTTCCCCAAAAATAAGACCCTGTCTTTATTTATTTTTTCTCAAGAAGATGCACTAGGGCTTATTTTCAGGGGATATCTTAATCTCGGTGCCGAAATGCATGGCCCATCACTAGGTCTTATTATTGGAGTAGGGCTTATATTTAACAAATGCATAGAAATCCTGCTAGGGCTTATTTTTTAGGTAGGTCTTATTTTCAGGGAAGCACAGTATGTCCTGGGAATGGAACCCTTGCTCTCTATCATCTGTAAATTTGATTGTTCTTTATAATTTGTTGCCCTAATAAATATTTTAATTAACATCTGTTTTCTGCAAGGTAGAAGTACTTGTGACTTTGGTGTGTCCCAGTTTCCCCCCATGCACGGACATAAAGATAAACAGCTTTTGACTCAGCTGGGACATACCGGGTCCATTTCAGCAAAAGGTTGTGTTTTATTTACATTAACAAGTTATTCGTGACAAGAACAGAAATACTTTAAAACAGCTCCATGAATTTGGCCTTTTAGTGAACTTAAACTGGCTCACCCCTTTCAAGTTTGCTAAAGAGCAGCATTTCCAGATGCTTCCGTTTCTCCAGTGTCCCTGATCTTCTTAGGAAAAGGAGATAGGAAGTAGGAAAGTTCCCCAAGCTATATTGGAGAAGGAATCCTTTATGTTTAATATTTTATAACTCCCCAGGCAGCAGGAGATAGGCCCTGGCAACAGAAGGCTCACGTTTCAGGCCTCAGAGCAGCCTGGTATTGCTTTGTCTTTTGTCTAGGCTGATCACCCAGGTTGCTGCAGCCCTGGGATTCTCTGAAGGCACTCGGAGCCTGCTGCAAAAGCTTTCTCCTGGAAAATCGCGGAAGCTGGGACTGTAGAATGACAGAATTATGGCTTTGGGCAGACCTGGGCTCAGGTTCCAGCTCCACCCCGCACTGATCACGCAGCCACAACCTGGGATGAGTCACGGTGCCTGCCACCTGGGGTGGCCAGAAGATTACTTGAGATGGGCAGGTGGCGTGTGCGGCTGGAGCCGGCTCGGTGCAGGCCTCCGAGAAGAGTAAGAAGTGATTGATTATCACCGTTGTTCCCCTGGGATTTCAGAGCAGCCAGCCTCCTTGGCCCAGGTATGGCCCTGGTATGTTCCTGCTGTGTCTGATAGGGCTGGGTGTGTGGGTGGCTTTGTGCCCTGTCCCCTTCATTCTCTATAGAAGGGCAATCATTAGAAGAACGCCATGGTCCTGTCACTGTCCCCTGCTTGTGCCTCCTCAGGAAGGAGGAAGGACTTCTTAGAAGAGAGTTTAGGGAAGAGAGCAGCTGTGTGCAGTGTGGCTTTCCTTCAGGACTGTGCGTGGCATGTGTGTGGACAGGATGAGGAGGCCTTAGGCAATCTCTGCCATCCGTGGCTATGGGAGCAAGTCTGCTTAATTGGCAGGTTTCCCTGTCCACATTTCAAGGTGCATTCTCCAGTTTTATCACATCATAAAGGAGACCGTCTGATCTCCATCAGCCTGATTCCTGACTATCTGTCATTTACTTTAAGTCCTCCACCCCTATTTGATGAGGTCTGCTTCCTCCCATCCTTAAATCACAAAGCGACAGCCCACGCGGGCCCAGGGGGACCACTCACCCAAGCGCGAGGTCTGTTTCCGTTTGATCTCCGTGAGCTTGGGGATGGGGTAGGGCCCATAGCAGTGCGTGAAGATGACGCACAGCTGCTGGCTGATCACCTCGTTCTGCAGAGAAGAAAGAGTAGCTCGCGTGACTTGGGGCTGTGGACGGCCACAGCCGGGCTGTCACCCCAGGAATGTGACCCCCAGGGGAGATGACTGCACACGTTTGCTGCAGGTTCCCGGAGGTATGGCCGTGCAGAGCACTCATGCAGTCTGGCCCTGCAGAACCGGGATTTACAGGCTCTTCTGCCCACTGTCTATTTCCAGTGGCTTCCCGGGTGAAGCTTAAGAAATTATAATGAAATTCTTCTGTCTTTCCTTCATCACTTACTACCCACGGGAAAGCAGGGTTTTTGTAGCTCACAGAATGAAAAAACGAGTTTTTACCCCAAACCCACCTTTATCAATACTCTAAAATTGTGGAAGCAGCCAGCTATCCTGAAATGAGCGGCAGGAAGCCCTTTGGATCCTGGCACTGTGCTCTCCGTTAGCGAGACAAAAGCTCCTGATTCAGCTTTCTCACCAACGTGATTCTGGTGCTGAGGCATTTGGGATCCAGAAGTGCTCAGCGAGATAAGTTCTGTGATCCAAAATACAGCCACCCTTGACCGCTTAGGGACGAAGGGTTTCAGCTGAACCCTCCTCCTTCCCATTTGGCCTCTTCCCCCGTTCTGGGCATTAATCTCCCTCCCACTGTAGGGGTGCGGACGGAAGACAAGACCTCCAACATTTTGTTGTTTGGAAACAGGGACTTAAAAATAGGGCGATAGAAAAATATTTACAATATAATAAGAAGAGTAGGTCACAACACAGTTGGTACCGTATTTTTTGGAAATAAAACCCTACAAGTATATTTGGAGTGACAGGTATGTCTAAAAGAATGGTTACCTTTGGCTGAGATGATGTTTTCTTTTTATTTATATTTTCTATAACAAACAAGCATTGCTTTTGTAATATAAACAGTAAGTACTATTTGGGATTTTAAAAGATGGTTTGGGGACCACTCATATCAGAGATTCAGGCTATTCTTTTTTTTTTTTTTTTTGAGACAGTCTTAAGCTGTTGCTCTTGCTAGAGTGTCGTGGTGTCACAGCTCACAGCAACCTGAAATTCTTGGGTTCAAGCGATTCTCTTGCCTCAGCCTCCCAAGTAGCTGGGACTACAGGCACCCGCCACAAAACGCCCAGCTATTTTTGTTGTTGTTGTTGTTATTGTTGCAGTTGTCATTGTTGTTTTAGCTGGCCCAGGCCGGGTTTGAACCTGAGCGCCTCAGAGTATGTGGCTGGGGCCCTACCCACTGAGCTACGGGTGCCGCCCAATTCAGGCTATTCTTAAATCCGCCCACTTGAGTGTGCTTCCAAGGCAGGAGGATACAGCCAGGCATATGGAAAGAAAACCCTTTGATGATATTGGATAGATCACAGAAGGCAGTGGCACCTCAGACGGGATTCACATAGGCACAATCACACTGAAAGGATAAGGGGTCTTGACCGCCTGCCTCACGACTTACCGTAGCAGTTCTCAAAGTGTGGTCCCTGGACCAGTCACATCAACATCACTCGGGAGCTTGTGAGAAATGCAGATTCTTGGGTCTCACGCAATACCTTCTGATCAGAAGGTCTGGTGATGGGGCCCAGGATTCTGTATATTAATACATTTTCCGGTGATGCTGTTGCTTAAGTTTGAGAAACACAGGTTTCATGCACTGAAATCCTTTTTGGGGTTGAGCTGGGCTGTGAGATGTAAACTGATTTCTTCTGACCTAAAGTCTGTCCACCCAGAATAAGGGCTCCAGACCAGCAGCAGCAGCAGCATCGCCTGGGAGCCTGGGAGCAATGCATACTCTCCCTCCCAGCCCCTGAACCTCAATCTGTGGTTTAACATTCTCTGCAGGTGATTCCCATGCAGTGAAATAGCCATTAATTCTGTCTGCAAATATTTATTGAGCATCTACTAAATGCCAGGCCCTGAGAGCCGGACACTGCGTGACTGACACGGTGCTATGCTCAGTGTCAGGGCCAAAGACGTTGCCTTCTCCAAGACTTTCTGGCTGCTGCTTTTCAGGGACTAGAACCCTAAGAGAAAAGTCCCCACCGCATCCTTGAGTCTGTTCTTTTTTGTTGAGGTGTCTGCCCTGCCCTGTTTCTGGGGACATCCGTGGAAGTCACTCTGGTTACCTGGGACCCTAAATGAGTTGGGACTCCAGGGCTCCTCTGACCACCAGGGCAGCGTCATTAATGTTGGGTCACCACTGTGGTGGGGTGAAACAGGGGCCACGTAATGAGTCATCCTATGGGCTTGGTTAGGTCTAGACCAGTGGTTCTTAACCTTCCTAATGCCGTGACCCTTTAATAAAGTTCCTCATGTTGTGGTGACCCCCAACCATAAAATTATTTTCATTGCTACTTCATAACTGTAATTTTGCTACTGTTATGAATCATAATGTAAATATCTGATATGCAGGATGGTCTTAGGCAACCCCTGTGAAAAGGCCGTTCAACCCCCAAAGCGGTCACGACCCACAGGTTGAGAACCGCTGGTCTAGATGAAAACCTCAAGAAGCAGAATGGAATAGATCTGAGTTGCAGCTCATTCTATTCTGGAGGTGGGAATGGAGTGGGGCCTGTGCTGGGACAGATATTAGATTCTTCTCTGAGTGGGCAGTGGTTTTAGGTTCCATAAGGCTCAAACCTTGGGGGCAGCAGGCTAGTCTTTGCACTTGGGGAGGCTGGGGTAAGCCCTGGGAGGGAGGTGCAAGGGGGACTCTGTCAGACCAGAGGACACAGCGCCTGCCTGGTGATTGTTACTGGCATGCCACTGGGCACCTGCCACTCAGGTCTCTCTCAGGAAATGCTGGGGGTGCATGGAGTGAACTTGGGGGCTCTAGACCTGGAACTATGTGGCCACACAGAAGAACTAAAAGGGAGTGAAGCAAAATCCTTAATAGCACAGTCACCAGGAGACCCTCTCGAGACGGACACCAGAGGATTGGGCGCTGACATCTTTCCTCTCTTCCTCTGACCCTCCCGTCCTCTCCTGAAAAGATGCAGAAACACTTTCTTTTCTACTGAAAAGTGCAGGAGGCGTCATCCCAAAGGTCCTTTCTAGGGGCTCTGCTGGGGGTCGATGTGGTGGTAAAGCATGGATGAAGGGGTCAGATGGGAGCCAAGTCCCAGTCCTGGCCCCTGGCTCATGAGCTGTATGACCTTGGGAAAGTTACTCAGCTTCTCTGGGCCGCAGTGTTCCGAGCATTAAAAATACCTGCCTGACAAGGTTCCTTTAGGGCTAAGAAAAGGATAATGCATCACCATACCTTGTTAGGTGGAACCAAAGGAAAGTGCTGATCTGGGAACCTTTTTTTACCCTTAAAACAGCAATTTCCCACAGTTGAACCTAATCCCTATTTTTAAAGAGGATGGCATCTTTAAAAACTTCATGGCAGATTTTTAGGAAGAGGAAAAAAAAACTCCTCACCTCATTAAAAGTGCACGTCCATCTTAAGGCTCGTTCTAGATTGACAAACACTAAAGTGTGAAAAAGGCCGTGTCTCAGAATCCAGAGAAAGGGGAGCTCCTGCTGCTCTCTGGGGATGCAGGCGGTAGGCTCTCTGTCAAGGAGACTCACCCCGGCAGGAGCCTGGAAAGGAGGAGGCAGGGAGTGGGGGGGCTCCCCACCCCAGAGGGGCTTCGGGGAGCTCAGCGGGGCCTCTGTCCCACTGCAGTGGTGTGGTCACACATTTACTGTGGCATGTACCTTCTGCTTGCAGTAAGTGATGCGGGCTTTCTATTTTTGGTGCTAATAGCCTCAGGTAGAGGCCAAGTGGGGCACCTGCACCTGGTGGTAACGAAGTGGCAGCCACCTTTGCCCTATCAGAGCAGGGTCAAAGTCAGCTAAAGAGCAGAAGGTCTGCATAAGACCCCGCGTCTCAGAAAATGCCCATATTTCAAGACATACCACCTGTCGTAAGACCAGGAAGATCTCCACGTGAATGAATAAAGACAGTCAGCAAACGCCAGCGCCACGAGGACAGAAGATAAAAAGCAGGGTGCAGAGCAGGAGAAAACATTTGCAGACTGCACAGCTGACAAAGGACTAGCATGTAGAAAACATAAAGAACCCTCAAACTTGAACGTAAAAAAGCAAACAAGCTAGAACACCAGGAGACATTTCACAGAGGAGGACGTGTTCACGTCATTAGCTGTTTAGGGAAATGCAAGTTCAAACTACAGCCAGATATCGCCACACACCTATCGGAATGGCTGAAATAGAAAACAGTGACAGCACCAAACAGGGAGGATTCAGAGACACTGGGTCCCTTGAACCTTGCCGGTGGGCACGTAAAAGGTCACGGCCACTGTGGAAACAGTTTGGCAGTTTCTTTAAAACCGAAATCTGCAGCTATGTGTACCTGAAAACCTAGCCAACGGTACTCTGGGGCATTTATTCCAGAGAAGTGAAGCCATGTTCATGCCAAAAACTGTGCATGAGTGTTTATGCGATTTTATTCCAAATAGCCCGGAACTGGAAAGAACAGCCTTCAACAGCTGAGCGCGTGAACAAATAGGGCACATCCACCCCATGGATGACGATTCAGCAGTGCAAAGGAACAGCTGAGGAACAGCCTGCAAAAACCTGGTGATCTTTGGAGAATGACGCTGAGTAGAAAAAAATCCAGTCTCCCAAAGTACAGACCATGTGATGTAAGTATGACATTTCAATGGCATTCTTGGCAAAATGAGATGAGAACTAGCGAGGGGTTAAAGAGGAGACTGGAGGCAGGAGGGCAATAGGTGTGACAGGAGGGATCCCTGGGGTGGTGGGAATTTTCTGCATGCTGACTATTACATCCATATGTAGGTTGTGACATTTTACTGCAGTTGTGCAAGATATGGCCACTGGGGGAAACTGAGACCCCCTTCCCCCCCGCCCCCCGTGTCAAGGATACAGAGGATCTCTCCATATTATTTCTTACGACTGCATGAATCTACAATTATCTCAAAATAAAAAGTTTTAAAACTCCCCCCAAAATGTACAGACCGTAAAAAATGAACATATCTATGCCTTGCCCTGGTCTAAAATCCATGGTGTCCCATGCTTTGTACAAGGAGGGAAATCCAGACTTTCCTTGGCCCCCTACAGTCTGATTTTATCTCCCACACTTTTTCCTTTGTCTTGAGACCCAAAGCCCATTCCTCCTAAGAGCCTTGGCACCTGCAGTCCCCTCGGCTGGAAGCTTTTCCATACTTAGGTGGTCACTCAAATGTCATCTCCAGGAGACCTTCCTGACCATCTTAAATTAGACCTCACCTGACCCAGCCCCAGAGACTGTGTCACTATCCAGTTTCAGTTGTTAAGCAGCATTTATCACGCGCTGCTTTGTTGATTTATTTCCTTACCATCAGGAAGCTCCACGAGGATAAAGAGGGTGTCTGTCCCCTCACCACCTGGAGCATCGTGGCACTGCCTGCCTGTCATCAGTGACTAAATGCCCAGAGGAATTACTGTTAGAAAAATGGGCCTGGAGCTCTCTTTAAACAGACACATTAAAAAAAAAAATGACTAAACTGTTCTACTCCTGGGAAGTCTGGATAAAATGAATTCATTTGAAGTTAAAATTTAGAAAAGGGAGGAAGAAAGCGGATCTGCAGCCAGGTCGCAAGCCCAGTATGAATGAGCACAGGTCAGGACGGGGAGACGGGTGTGGATGCCTCGCTTTACAGGTCAGCTGCATCTCTGGGGCTTGACCATAAGCTGAATTTATTTACGGGAGTCTTTCTCGGTGCTCTGATAAAGCCAGGTATTTGTTCAGACGGAACAGCAGATGTGATCTGGACAGGAGGCCTGAGTCAAGGGAGAATAACAGTTCTAGCCACTTGTGTGATCTATGGCTAGGTTACTACTGTCCTCCAAGAGAACACTCAGCTCTGAGTTTCTCTGCCATTCTCTTGCTCCAGTTTTTTTTTTTTTTTTTTTGGCCAGGGCTGGGTTTGAACCTGGCACCTCTGGCATATGGGGCTGATGCTCCACTCCTTTGACCCATAGGCACTGCCCTCCAGTTTTTCTTTTGATCACAGGAATATCACCCATGCTTGGGGTAATGCCTGACTTCATATGACTGTCTTGGGAAACACACACCCCCCCACCACCCCACCCAGCCAGTGTATGTGATATGTAATGCCACATTTCACCAGTAGGGGATGCCATCCAGCACCCCCTGGTCCCTCACCCTGTAAAAGTAAACTGCCCACTCCCTCCGCCCTCCTTCTGAACATAACTCTCCTTCCTGACAGCCCCAACTCTGGCTCCTCCCACCCTTGATGATGGGTACAGCTACCTGGGAGCTGACTCTAGGCCACATGCCTTGGCAAAGGCCCCTTCCTCCTTTCTGTCCCCAGCTGTGCTGTTGCTGACACCCCACAATGAACTTGCCCTACTCTCCCTCTCAGACCCTCTGGAGTACCACTCAGGGGTCTCCCCAGATCCTCCAGCCCACCATACACCTGTCCCCTTGGGCCTCCGAGGCTCTGGGGCTCTGGAGAGTGTCAGGTAGCCTTGGGCTCTGTTAGGACAATCTCCATTGCACTGTGAGTGAAGTAGGCACTCAGGTGCTGACCCAGGCACCTGAACGGTGCTCTAGAATTACCTCTGCAGTAAAAATTCAGTCTGATTTTCAAATGGCTGACTGTAAATGATGGGGCCATCACCCACTCATGAGTCGAGAGTGGTCTGTATGAACTATTATTAGCCTGTAGGTTCTTAATCGTGGGGTCAGGTTCTGAGACATATTTCCTATCTAATGAGCTGTCCCACTCAAACAAGCCGCAGCTCCAGGCAAAATGAAGTATAGCGTTAGAAGTTCGTCCATGGTGGCCCTTTGGGGGACAGTGGCTGAGCGGGCACAAGGGGCCCACTGGTTTCTTGGTCTAGGTGCCGAGTACATAGTACGTTTACTTGTGAAAATCCATCAGGCTCTAGAGTGATGATCTGGGCACTTTGCTGTGTATCAGAACTCAAAGTCAAATTTACTTTAAGAAGCCACAGATCAGGTTTACTTAATACAGAGGCTGCCTCAGTAAATGCCCCACTATGGCCTGAAGAAAAGTTAAAAACAATAAACAAAACAAACAAGAAAAACAGACCCCCAAAATGACAGAACATCAATCCCCGGGAACAAGCCATGTTTTTTACTAAGATGTTTCTTAGGTCATTTCAGGTGAAAGCCTTTTTAGTCATTCATTTACGTTTCAGCCAGTGTGTACGTATAGAGGGGGAGTTTGGTTTGGAAATGCTTCCAGCAGGTTTCACTATGTGTGGACTTGGTGAGGCTCCTTACCTTAGGCCTAGTGCTTCTGCTCCCATTCAGGCCCTCAGTGGGGCTTGATCTCAAGCACCCTGCAGGGGCCCAGAGATGCCAGGCTGAGCACGGGCACTAATGAGGACACCTAGGGGGACTTGCTTTGAACCTGAGGCCAGGTGCTCTGAGAGCAGGTGGGCTGCCTTGCTGCTTCCTTACTGAAGGGCCATCCCTGCTGTCTGGGGGACGTGGCTCCATGTCCCTTCTTTGCACTCAGGGGCCTCCCAGCAGCCCAGCCTGGCAGGTGAACGAACACAGCTTTTTTGTCCGAGGCTGATTTCCCCAGAGTTCCACAAAGGCTATTTGGGGCTTGTGCTAGAGCCCGATTGCCCAGCTTCTGTCTCAGCCCTGCCAATTACCAGCTGTGTGACCTTGGGCATGTTGATCACCCACTCTGTGCCTCAGTTTCCTCATCTGGTAAAAGGGGGTTAGATTAGTACCTCCTTTAGTAATTGCTTGTGAGGGATAAATGAGCAACTCCTTATAACATGCTTGGATTAATGCCTGGCATATAGTGAAATAGAATACGTATATATACTAGCTTAAAAAAGTCCTCATTTGTGTCTTGAGATAGTTCATTATAAAAGGGTTGTGAGGTCACATAAGTTTGGGAAACACGCCATTCCCCTGTGAATTAGTGTACTGAAGGCTCTGCAGTAGTGAAATTGGCATAATTTGATGTTATTCCAAGGAGGGTTGACATCTGGCCTGCTCACAGCTGGCTGGTGCCTGGTGTGCTGCAGTGTTAAATGCTTTCGTATCATCCCTGCTGTGGGGGGCAGGGCATCTTTGGGAAATCCTGGCGGTAAGTCCATCTTCATGATATAGACACGTAAGAAAGCATTTGCTATATGTGTCAGGGATGATGCAAAGGGTGTTGGGGTGTTGACTCATTTTTTGTTTGCTTCTTTGGCCAGGGCTGGGTTTGAACCCACCACCTCCAATAGATGGGGCTGGCGCCCTACTCCTTTGAGCCACAGGCGCTGCCCGTGTTGATTTATTTTTTGCTCACGACCATCCTAAAAGGTAAGTACAATTATTGTCCCCATTTTCAGATGGGGAAGTTGAGGCAGAGGGAAGTTAAGAAGGTTGGCTAAGGCCAAAAGGCTACTAAGTAGCAGAACCAGGATTTGAACTCCTGCAGCCTGGCTCCAGTCCATGTTCTCAACCACTGTGCACTACTGGCCCCGGGTCCCAGAGAAGCCACTGGGGTATGTGACGGTTGATGGCAGAAACTCCTCAGAGCCTCTCAGGCAGACTGGTCCTCCCTGGGGTTTCTCCTGGTCACAATGCTGGGGCATTTGCCACAGCCTCCCCTGGCTTTTGGCTACCAAGCCTGATGGCTGGCTGGGCACCCAGGGGAGCACCAAGGCAGTCTGTTCTCCATGTGCTCTACCAACACACACAAGGGCATGTGGCCCATTGACAGGGAGTCACCTGCCCACCGAGTCATCCCAAAGAGATTTTTTGGAGTTAATCAATAGTCCTAGTGCTGGACTGAAGTTTTGAAGGGGTTGTGGCATTTCCCCAGGGCCGCGAATGTAGGTGTCAGCAGGACTCATCTGCACCCTCCACCTGCGAGACCTTCTCCCAGGGCCTAACTTCCCAGCCACTGTGGCAGGTTTGCATTCTGTTTATCCAGAAAGCTTTGCCCTCTTCCCTTTTCTTCCTTATCTCTGTCATCCATCCAGGCCCGGTCTAGCCCCGCACCTCAGGGAAGCCCACCCTCCCTTCCTCCCTTCTGAGTTCTCACACCTGTCCTAGCCTGCATCTCCCAATTTAACAGCATTGTATAAACTGCTTTGTACTCGTGCTGGTGTCCTCTCCCAGCTGTGGCGCAAGCTCCTTGAGTTAGAAGATATCTGATTTGCCCTGTGCCAGGGACATACGGATGCTCAGCAAACCAGCTGCCCCACATGTGACTGCCCAGGCCGGGGTGCACTCACCACCTAGGGCCATGACTGTTCAGTCCTACCCGAAGGGCAGTGTCAGTCCCTGTGGACCTCTGGCCTGATCCCTGCCCACAACCAGCCTCAAAGCCCTCGTACCTTGCTGGCCTTCAGGATCTCGAACATCAGGGGCAGGCCCTGGGTAACGAGCTCCTCCGTGTACTCCTCCTCCTGAATGGTCTTAAACTCCTTCAGCAGGCACTGGATGAGGGGCCTGCGGTGCTGCTGGAAGGCGATCCGCAAGGACTCCAGCCACGTGTGCAGGGTCCACGGGACACCTGGAGGGGCGAGGAACAGGGAAGGGGCAGGGGACGGGAGGGAGAGGGAAAGGGAGAGAAGACCACAGGAGGAGGCGTGTTTTTATCTGGAAGTTGGCCTTTCCCCAGGGCATTACCCACTTATGAGACCAAGACCGACTTTCCATGAACAGAGCTGGTGTTGGTTTTTCCCAAAGACTTGCAGAAGTTGGAATTCAAGGTCATAATTCCAATCTTTTAACTATGGGCGTCCATCTCCACCTGCTACTAATAGTCTTAGGGACTGCGTTTTACAATGTATAATCGCTGTGTAGCACACAGGAATTATTACGCACACTGCACACTTCTGGGTCCTGAGCTCATAGCCTCCACTCTACTTATTCTATTACTGGGGACAGAAGCTAAGGAAGGGGAAGAGTCTTGCCCAGGATTAAAGAATAAATGTGCCCCAGGATCCACAACATATCCATGTCCACAGGAGAGCTGAGAGCTGGTGACACCCACGGTGGACTTGGCCATCTACAGCTCTGGCTGAGATGAATGTTTATGTCTGAATAAGAAGGCCCGGGAGGTCATTCCCGCTGCTCGCCTGTGCAAAGCATTCCCACCCGCAGGTGCCTTGTCCCTCCCTGCTCTAACTGAAGCCTCTCCAGGGCTGATTGCTGTCGTTTGCTCCTTCCTCGTGAAGAGGCACAGACAAAGGGGGTGCGCCTCAATGCTGTGTCTAACAAGTAGGCCCCGCGGAGTCTCGAACTCTGTAATCATGCAAAATAGGCTCTCATGGCAATGGCATCAATGTCCCACATACTAACCAGCCACCCATCTGGGAGGCTTGTTTCTAAAACGGTGTCTCAGGCGCCTCTCTGTGGCTCTCAGCCAGCTTCAATCCACCTCACCCTGGGTTTATGTCCCGCTGCTCCTGGGCCAGGCCTGAAGCCACCAGGCTGGTGAAGGCTAGGCTAGCCTCGTTCCCCAGAGGCACACGGGAGGTGGCCCCAGACTAGCTCACTCAGGGAAGAGTTGGCTGCACTTTGCTGAGAGGTGCTTTACTTCCCAAAACTCGATGGGAGGGGCCCTCCTAAGGGCCCCGACGACTGTGCCACCAATGCTTCCTGGAGCCCGGCGCTCTAAGGCAGTGATTCCTCGACCACTGGGAACCACCTGGGATGATTGTTAAATATAAAGATTTCCAGCCTTTATTCATCCAGACCCTTGACGGCAGAGCCTCTGGGTGTAGGGCCTGGCAAGCTCTGTAAGTGAAAGGAACTCCTGCTCGAGGGTCGAGAGTTTGGGGGTCCTGGGAAGATGATGAGAGTGCACATCTTTGGGGCAGGTGGGATGGGGACAGTGTGGGCATATTGGCCTGTTTCAAGCAGTGTGGAAGCTCCTTGGGCCCCTTAGTGTGATGTGTGTGTGCACGTACGTGTGTATGTGTGCAGTGGTCAGACCTACGCTGGCAGCAGCGCCGTGCCCCACGTGGGGGTGCCCACACTGACCTATGCTCCTGATATCAATTGTGACATCCACGTAGCCGTGCTCGGCACTGTGATACATGGCCTCCCTCAGGGCCCTCAGTTTGGCCTTGCTGTTGCGGCTGGCGCACAGAGGGGGCGGGGCTGTCTCTGCCAGGTCAGTCCCCTCAGCCAGAATCTCCTCCAGGGACAGGATATCACTCTTCTCCTTCTCTGGCTGGGCGAGCAGTTTGCGGAACACATTCCTGTCAATCATAAACCCAGAGAGGAAGACACTCAGAGATGGCAGTGGCTTTGCTGGGACAGGGTGGGTTGGGGAAGTGGGGTCGCCACTTGCTTGGGACCAGGGAAGGACAGGGACCAACAGGGTGAAGGCTGCAGGGGCCTGCATGGGGGGCTGCGTTTTGGGGATGGAGGAGGTGATGGGATCTCATTTCCTTGAGGCAACTTGGGGCTAAGTGATTTCCTCAAATATACAGAAGGTTCTAGAACTGTTAGCCTGCACTCCCTCCATGGTGAATTTGTTTTATAGGTGATAAAATTTCAGGTTGCTAAATCCTGAACTTAGAAGGGAAGTAACCAAACACAGGAGGTTTTATTATTTTTAAAATGGATTCTTCCAACTTCATGACAGCTGATGTGATGTATTCTGACCAAATTGGCAAACAGTGACGCCTTCCTGTGAGGTCAAGCTGGCTGGAAGCAGGCCAAACTGGTCCCAGCGGAGGTGCACAGCAGGGGGGTGGCTCTCAGGTGGTAGTGAAGGTCGCTCTGGCCAGTCCTGGGGCCTGGCCCACCTCACACTGCCTCTGGGCCCCACATCCAGAGATACGATGGGTCTGGGGTAGGCCTGGGAATCTGCATTTTTAACAAGCACCACTTGGGACCTGTGGCTCTGGCCCATCCTAGCCTACCTGTGTCCGTGGGCTGCGGCCTGGCTGAAAGAGTTCATATCACCCTGGGGGGTGGTAGAAATTCCATTCCTGTACATGGTTCCTATCAGGGGATCCGCACCACGCTCCAACAGCAAACTAACCAGCTCAAAATTTCCTGCAAGCCCAGAGAAGGGGGTTTTATAAGAGAATAAAGCAAAAATATAGTCACAGGCACTTCAAGGGCCAGGGTGGTGGAGACCCTTGGCTGGGCTGAGATCCGACGGCTCTTACCTACGGCAGCTGCGAGCTGGAGGGGTGTTTCTGAGTAGTTCTCCTCGCCATGCTCCACGGAGCCTTCCACCTTGGCCCCAGCATCCAGGAGGAGCTGCGGAGGAAGAGTGGCCATTGAGACGCACAGAGGACAAGCGCGGTATATAGGTGTCAGCGAAGGCTGGTGGGACAGTGAGAGGCCAGCACTGCTCCCCTCCCTCCAGGTCAGTGTGCACAGGGCTGGAGGGCAACTGTCCCCTCAGAAGATGCACTAGGGGCTTCTCGTGTTTTCTAGACCCCCAGGCGACTCAGGGTGTGGTCCACGCACAACGGCACTACCTGGGAGTTTGTTGGAAATGCTGACCCCCAGGCCCCAACCCAGACCTATGGAATGTGAGTCAGCACCATAACAAAGTCCCCAGGGACCATTTATGTGTACTTTAATGTATTAAAAATCCCAGCAGCACTGAGCTAGAGGTCCTTGGCACCAGAATGCTGGAAGACTCCCTTTGGGGGCTGACTGCCCCAAACTTCAGAGGGCATTAGTGTGATCTCAGACTCTGAAGAGATCTGAAGGACTCGGGGGATCTCCTGCGCCAACCAGGATAAGAATTCCTTCTAGAACATTCTGGATAGCTCTGAGGACAGTTGAGTAAATGCTGAGTTTTCTGGCTAGCAAGATCAGTTGATAGAGTGGCAGTGTGAGCTTCCAGAAGATTGCTTCATGTGATGCCATTCTGTGCATTCCCTAAGCTATCTGGGCCTTTTAAAGAGGCAGAGATTCTGTCTCTGCTGAATCTCACTCACACTGAATGTGCTATCAGCACTGCTGACATCAAACAGGAAGAAAAATCTGCCATCTTTACTACCTACTGAAGGCTACCTGTGGGCAAGGCCAGGCAGGGGTTGTCTACGTGGCACTTCTGGCTTCTGTACGGCTTTGCCTGGCTGCCCACCATTCCCAGTTCCAAATTAAAGATCAGAGATGCCCCAGCTTGTTGAGGGATGGCATCTGTGGCCACCAGATCACCAGGAGACCCCTTCTTTCTTAGATTCCTCTGGAGGACTGGGTATGCTGCTCTATACACAGAAGCCAGTTCTCAGTGTGACTCGTCACATCCTCAGCCTCCTGAAACATGACTCGGGATCTTTTCCTAAAAAAATGTATGATCCAGAAAACAATGAAGGATTCCCATGGAATTCCAGCATTACTGAGCTGTTCCTGCAACACTGTTCCTCACTCTGCAGGGAGTCAGGAGACGTGGAGGGAGACACAGAAGGAGGGAAGTTCCTGCCGTGCCCAAAGCTCAGGCCCGGCCACAGCGGCCCACGTGCTCACAGGCCCAGATGTTGATGAGGTCAAGATCAAGATCAAGATCTATGACATACTGGATGGCCGTTCATTGAACAGCAACTCCACAACAGCTAGAAAAAGTGCAAGTGATGCACACTTTATACACCCAGAGGACCTGTAATGAGGATGTGTCACTGTCCTTGGAACTGTTTCAGAAGGCACGTGGCTACAGCCCAACCCTGGACCTCCTGGATCCAATTCTCAAGAAGTGGGATTCAGGCAAGCATTTTTTGGAAACACTCCCTTGGTGACTTGGACACTTCCTCCCGCTGGCTGGAAACCACGAGACTCTAAGCACATACTGGGGTTACACCTTAGTGGAGGTTCCAAGGTCTCGGCAGCAGCCAAGTCTTACGTTCATGTCATGACAAGCAAAAGGAACAAATCCACACAACAGCTGCAGCCCCACCCCAGAGCAAGTCCGAAGAGCTTTGTAGGTTTGCCACTGTGTGTATAAGGCTGAATGTGGGTACATGGTAGTTTCATATTGGTTAAAGCTGGGCCCTGGGGATTATTACATATAGTAATTATCATAATTATTCATGAGATACGAATGTGCTATATTTAATCGCAATTAACCAATATGAATCTCTTAGGGAATATGCATGCTGGGAGAGGTGCAGATTTTTGTTATGGAAGAGGTACAATTAAAGGTCAGATGTGGACAGGGAAATACGTTAATACCTGAACTACAGGAATATGTCCATGCAACACAGCAAAAGTCAGAGCCGTCCAATGGCGGGTCTCAGGGTGGACGGATGGATATTTATGAGGAGTACTGACAACCTATAAACAAATTGAGGTTATTTTCAAAATGTGACCTTCACAGTTCTCAGGCTAGCAAGTCTGGCCTATCCGTGGCTGGGCACGAGGACGCTAGGTGCACAAAGACATCCTGGCCGATGCCTTGGGTGGTACAAGGTAGAGATTTTCCCTTGTTCGATGCCCCAAACACCTCTCACCAGAACTAGGTGTCTGTCCTGCTTGTGTTCGTAAGAACAGAGATTAAAGCAATCCTACAAAAGCCGTCAGAAGACGACGTTATGATTTGGAGATCTCCCCCACTGGGCCAGTGAGTATCTGAGTGACTCTCTGTGCAAATAAGGACTCCTTTGCTTGTCTTGGGAAAGGAATTCATGGAGGACTTGTCATCGCCTCTAAGGTGCTTTGGAGAAGCTGTAATGGTTACAATGAGCCAGCTCCCCTGACTGCTTAAGGGAAGGTGGTGGTTCTGAGAGGTACAGAATGTCAGAGAGTGTGAGATGCCACCTCCACACCACCCACTTTTTAAGAGAGATTCTCAGTGGTGGCGAACCCCAAGCAAAGGGCTGTCTGTTTGGAACTTTCAAGCCAGGGGAGCCCATTGCTCGTATGATGGAGGAACTTCACCGTCCACTCACAGCTTGCCCCACACTGCTCTCATGTCACTCTCCTGCTGCTTTCTGGGGGAGCAGAAGCCTCATGCTACTGAAACGTGGGTGTGAAGCTTTCCCTAGACCTGTTACGAGGGAGGGAGCAATCTGAGACCGGTCTTTCAAGAGGGGGCCCTCAAAACACTCAGGCCAAGAGAGAGAAGTTGGGGTTTTGCAAGGTGAGCACCCACCTGTCATTTTTCTCCCAAACATTCCTGGGGCCACATAACCTCCACGCCTGCTTCACTCAGAGCAGTTCAGCTCACTGAGCACCCACCAGGGAAGGCCCTGAGCTGAGATGCAGGCGTGGGCTAGAGAGAAGGACCAGACCCTCCAGGACCCTGCACCCAGGAGCCCTTCCAGGGGTCTGCGTGGTCCTTAGAAATTCACAGAAAGGGGAAAGATCCCCACATACTTGAAAGTTATAAGATCCAAAATGGTTTTGGATCTAAAACTATGTCTATTGTCTGATTTCCTCAGATGAATATAAAAACTCATTAATAATAATAATAATAAAAAGCACAAACACAGTCCAAAGACTGCATGGGCATTTAATTTCGCATGGAAAACATTTCCTAGGGCTGCTGCATGTCAACCTCTCTGCTGAGACTGCCAATATCTCTCTGGCTGCCAGGGAGAGCCGGTCGGGGTGGGGTGGGGGTGGAGGGGGATACACGTGGGATTTCACGTATTATGAGACCTGGGTTATGTTTGGGGATGCTCATATTAACTGAGGCCCACACCTGTGCTGGTTTCTCTGCACATGCCTTCCAACCACTGTCTGAGGTGGGGGCGATCATTCTCCTGTCTTGTAGATGGGGACAGAAACGTTCAGCCACTCACCCAAGTACAGAAGCCACGCACTATAATACCGATGGTTTCAGAACTTGAACCCAAGTCTGACCAATTCTGAAGCCAGCAGCAGGGGCAGGGAGGGAGAGAGGAGAGGTCTGTGGGGACATGTGCTTTCCGCTATGCCACACTGCCCCGGGGGGAAGTATGAGATTAGCTTTAAGATCTGTAAACTCAGCCAACAAGGATCAGAGGAGCGAAACTCGAGCACAGGGGACTGGCCAGTGTTTCCTCAGCTTTGTGTCAGGCAGAGGGAAAGGGCTGATGGCTCAGGAGAGCTCTTTCTGCCCCCATCCCGGAAGGAATGGCGTGGCAGCAGGAATCAGAGATTCAGGATGGATACGAGGAAAAGTTGGTGTTCCTCACAGTTGTGTTGGTTGTTTCTATTTATTTTTATTTTTATTTTTTTTTGAGACAGAGCCTCAAGCTGTCACCCTGGGTAGAGTGCCATGGCTTCACTGCTCACAGCAACCTCCAACTCCTGGGCTCAAGCGAGTCTCCTGCCTCAGTCTCCCAAGTAGCTGGGACCTCAGGCGCCTGCCACAATGCCCAGCTATTTTTTGGTTGCAGCCATCATTGTTGTTTGGCGGGTCCGGGCTGGATTCGAACCCGCCACCTTAGGTGTATGTGGCTGGCGCCTTAGCCGCTTGAGCCACAGGCGCTGAGCCGTGTTGGTTGTTTCTAATGAAAATATGCATACAGGTGGCTCCAGTTGGGCTGGGAACTCAGGGTCGTCAAGATCTGACAGGTGGTCTCAAATGGGCCAACTCAAAGGGCCCAGGAGTGATCTATGTGTTGAACTGAGTTCCCAAGGTGGCTCTTGGGAGTAAAAGCCCCCCTCTGTTGCTGGCCTTCCCCTGGGGACTGCCCCGCAGGGGGCCCTGCAGGCCTGTGCACCCTCACCTCCACATTCAGGTCAGCTCCGGCATCCAGCAGCATCTGAACCATCGCCTCGTCCCCACGGACGCAGGCGTACATCAGGGGGGTCATGCCCTGCGGTGAGTTAAGAAACCAGAGAACGGAGAACGTTTACAACGATAACAAATGGAAAATCTTACTCGTGTTTAGGAGGCTATGCTTGTGCTCAAAATCCAGCATGCCAAAAATGAAACTCGGAAGGTCATAACCCTCCATGTTCTGGAAACCAAAATGGTGGTGAGAGGAGAGCTTCCATTGCCTTTCCAGGATTTATCTCTGCTTAAATTGGAGAATTTTCATCTGTTTGTCCGTCTTAGGGTGCAACGGACCTAGGACTGTTTGCTAAAACAAATGATTGATTTCAACTTATGGCCCTTAGGAGCTTTCTAGATTGATTCTGCAGTCTCGGCCCTAAGTTGTCTCATTGGTAAACACTGTTTCTTTGACATTTTCTCTCTCCCAATATAACAAGTGTCATCTTTGCTCTATATGAGCTGCTGGTCAGCGCCAAGGGAAATTGGATGCCTCTGAGCGTGTGGCATTACCCGCCACTGACATCTGGTTTGACATTATCATTTACAAGGAAAAAAAGCAAGCGAATGAGAAATGGCTTTTAGGAATAACCATATCTGCCCATGACTCATGCTTATCACAAACAAATCACCACAACCAACAGAAGGAAGGGATGGATTTTCAGCAAATAGTGTTGTGAAGGTGGTTATTTGGGAAAACATCCAAGCTAGAGTCTTATCTTATACCAGAGACCAAAATTGTATCTAGTTTGATTAGCGATATATCGGAAACATTGAAACCATAAAAGATTCCTAGCTTCTAGGCATAAACGTAACATAAAAAATTCCAAAGGAACATCATTATAGCATTGAGACTATTTAACTGAAAACATTATAAACAAAGTTAAAAGATAAACTATAAACTGACAATGTTACAATTTGTCATGCTGTAGTAAAGGATTAGGTACCTAATATGTAAAGAGTTTTTCTAAATAAAGAAGAAAACCAGTAAGGTTTCAATGAAAAACAGGCAAAAGACACACGCAGAAGATTAATAGGGAACATAGACATAGCTGGAGGGTATGTAAGAGGAAACAAAAGTTGTGGGAAGGTAACTTGAGATTGAGAACCTAAAGAAAGGCTAACGCATTTGAGCTATCATTTCCATTTTTAAAAATTTCCCTAATGAAATAATCAGAGATATGGACAAGGACTTGTATGTTTAGTTCAACAGTATTAATACAAGCAATTAGAAACAACCTATATATCTAACAATAAAAGTTATGAATAAACATATGACCATTTTAATGAATGGTTAATGAATAAACAATATGACCATTTTATATAGCCATTAAAAATGATTAAAAAATAAGTCAGGGTACAGAGATGTGTGGCTATTAATCCCAGCTACTTGGAAGGACGGGGGAGAAGGAATGCTTGAGGCCAGGAGTTCAAGGCCAGCCTGGACAACATAGTGAGACCCTGTTTCTTGAAAAAAAAAAAAGAATGTGCAACAATATTGTAAAATACTTTTAATATAAAATATTGAAAAATGCAAGATATAATAAATCCCTGAGTTTTTAAAAACAATGTAAGTGTGTGTGTGTGCGTGTGCACAAGCATATGTATGTATGTATGTATTAGGGCTCCTTGGTGTTCAGGAAAATTATTAGCTAAATAATTATTATTAATTGGTTCAGGACCAATTAATAAATGGTCCCTGCTATCCCCTCTCTGGAACTTGTGCATGAGCTGCCCATATGGTGAGCAGCCTGGTCTGTCCTTTGTGATGTCCCACGGGGGACTCACATTTAAAGCTGCTTGTTTTGTGTGTCCCTGACTAGTCACCCACAGAAGCAGCTCCCTGACTGCTGGACACCAGCATCTCTCACTGTACCTCAGCTTCAGGAGTTTAGGGGGGCAGCTGCCTATCTCTGAGGTCCCTCCTAGGGTCCCCAGAATGACTTCAGCGCATCTTAACTATACCCCCACCATTCGGTGGAATTTGTCTGAACTTGTCCTGTGTACAGGCAGGGAACTAATTTTAACCATGCTAGAAAAAGGACGTGAGGTTCACATACTAAATATAAATGATGGTTACATGGGTGATGGCATTATTTCCTTTCCGGAATAGGTCTATTTTTCTCTCTTTTTCACTTCAGCTGCAATGATCATGTGCTACTTCTATAAAGATGAACCAGAGTATTTTTATATTTAAATTTTTTTTTCTAAAAAGCGAGCGACCCGAGGGGCCAGCAGGGGGCGCGTCTGTCCAGCGCCGACTGGGGGATCCGCCAGCCGCCTGGGTCTGGCCGGGAGGCGGTGCCCGCGGCGGAGGCGGCGCCTGTCCAGACCCCCGCCCCATCGAACCCTGTACCTGTTCGCTCATGGTGTTGATTCCGTCGGGCCCCAGCAGAGACACCGCCTGCTTCACCAGGTCCGTCCGCCCGCAGTTCAACATCCTGAAGCCCAGGTCCTGCTTAAACTTGGCTTCGATGGCCACTGCGTCCAGCTTCCGAGAAGCGCAAAAGCAGTCGTCGGCCCTAAGGAAGGGAGGGACCGTCACATGGGTGCAGCAGTTTCCCCAGAGACTGGCCCCTGAGGGCCACAGGAGCAAACTCCTGTGGAAGCACCGCGGAGCTCGGCATTTGCTGTCCCTGTAAATGGCTTGTTTCTAGGCTGCAATTAAAATGATTGCCTCTCACGTCCCTTCATCTTCTGTCCTCTGTAACTGCTGCAGCTCTGATTGTCTCCTCTGTGCCCGCAGAGCACACTGAGCTGAGGATCCTAATGGCTACTATTTACTAAAGCTTACTATGGGTAGACACTCCGCTAACTCCTTATGTGAATTCCCACACAACCCCCAACCACCGGGAAACAGACAAAGATAAGGGGCTCGCCCAGGGCCACACCGTCTGAAAGCAGCGGAGCTGGGATGTGAACCGAGGTAGTTTGTGTGGAGAGCCGGCCTGTGTATCTACGGTATCACCCTGTCCTCCAATCACGGCTCCCACTATTTGCCTGTTTGCTTGTATGACTGCCCGCGGGGACTTCTGAGAGCAACACCCAGGTCTGGTGGGTCTCTCCCTCCCACGGCCAGACAGCACACAGTACGCCGAGGTAGCAAGTGTGAGCTGAATGAAGACAGAATGGGTGGATTCTCTACATTCAAAACAGAAGCAAGACAGAGGGCCTGTGAAATAAAATGGGAGTCTGAATGGCAAGGCGCCCTGGAGCCGCCTGCAGCCAGCAGGTGCATGGAGAAAGAGGTTAGGGAAGGGGGGAGGAGAAGCAGCAGAATCCGACGGTGATAAAACTGCTTGCAAAGGATGTTCCTTTCTGATCAATTAATTAGTAAATGATATCACTAAGCATTTTTAAAGCACTTGATTGCACCAGCTCTGCTGTAGGTGCTGAAAACACAGACGTAAACATGTCGCCGCCCTTGCCCCGGGCGCCCCCTGCCTGGAAGGGAAGAGGGTGCAGGCACGGGTTGGTGTATTAATTCAACGTGGCAAACGCAAGGATCAAGGCATCAGAGATGCGCACTATTCCAGAACACATGCTGTGGCAGTACAAGAAAGCTGCGCCAAACACAGCCCCGGCCACCCAGGCCTCCTGGGCAAGGTGATTGCACTGCTGAGCTGTCTTAAATCAGGAAATAGGAGAAGAGAGGGCAGAAGAACTCTGAGCAGGGCCCATACGAGCCAAAGTATGGAGGTGGGTCAGGCAGGCTGTGTGAGGGGAACTCCGGAGGTTTTGTGTTTCTGGGGCTGGATCACAGAGGGCTTTTGACTTAAGACTTTATCCTTAAAAGCCAACAGGGGAGTGATAATGGTTGGGTGGCCAACCCCAAGAGAGGGCAGAGGGTGGTTTGAGGGGAGCCAACTTTAGAGGTGGGGAGAGGACTTAGTGCTATGAACGAGCTGAGCAGACAGAAGTAGCCACCACCAAAGTGTGAAGTGACGAGGGGCTGAGTCAAGATGAGAGGCTGAGTCCAGATGGCAGATGCTGGGATGGAGCTGAGGTTCTGTAGGGGCCCTTCCCAGAGGCTGGTGAACCACGTGTGTTAGCTGGCACCAGCTTTGTACCTTCTGCTTGCTGCCGGGGTGGGGGGCACTGAGGAGAGGGGCCAGGTGTGCAGAATTTCTGGTTTTGCTCCTGCCTCTAACTAACACACCCTGGCAGAAAGAAGGGCCTTGGAGGAAACGGGAGGGACTATTGCTCTAGAATGCTGAAGGCACCAGTAAGGCTAGGATGTGAGGGGGAGCCCCTGCAGGGTGAACCACAGAGAGTGCCTCGGGCAGTGCGTGCCCTTGTCCTGTGGATTCCTGACATCTCTGCCTTGGCCAGAAGACCAGGCTGGATCAGGAACTCACGGGTAGGAGATGCCCCAGCGCTTGATACTAGAAGCGTTTGCATCTGCCACCAGGGGGAGCTGATGCGGCGTTGACAGACTCCAGGGGAACAGAGGCGCAACCCTCTGGTGCTGAGATGGGGTCCAGTTTGCACACTAAGTGTCAGGCCAGGCCTCCAGAGCCCTGTTTATATGAGAGCCTGGGAGGGAGATGAAAGCTATGTAGGTGTCCATAGCTGACCCGGACCTGGACTCAAGGATTAAGACCCTTTCATGCAGGCGGACCTTTTCAACACTGTTAGAAGACTTTTAGGGAAGACTGAGGGCTGTCCTGGTAGAGGGGATGGGGGGACTTGGAGCCTGACTTCAGACACAGTATCAGCATCCCAGATGTGCACTTCTACAACACAGAATTTGGCTGTGCCATAGGGCTTCTTGGCCCAACTCATGGGAGCTCTGAACTTGACTCTCCTGTAGCTGGGGTTGCCCAATGTAGCAAATAAAAGTACTTTAGAAATATTGCATGGGATATACTTACACTAAAACATTATTCATTGTCTATCTGGAATTGAAATTTAACTGGGCATCTTCTCTTTTGTCTGGGAAACGGCAGAGCTGCCTGCCATGGGATCAAAAAGAACATGAGAAAAAACCATGGGTTCCTCCAAAATATAAATAGCATCTGAGGGGCCAGGTGTGCAGAATTTGAATATAAATAGCATCTGTCACTAGGGTGACTTCTGGTGTGGATGAAGCCTTTATCCAAGGAACAAATGATCCCTAAAAAGTGGGGAAGGAAGAAGCTTCAGGACAAACAGGACACAGGGAAGTGGGCCTGAGTCACAGGGCAAGGTCCCAGGTTGGGCATCATGGAGGCTTCTGGGAGGTAAAGGTGGGGTCTGTGTGTTGTAATGAGGAGTGTTTGGGTCTTGTTTGGGCATATATGCAAATCTTGAGGCAGTATCAGATTTGATTTGTTGCAGGGACATTTATTCTATGAGACCACCATCCAATTCTGAAGAGGCTGCTTTGTGAAATCAAGAGCTCCCTTCTTGGGGCAAAGATGATATAAATTATCATGGTCACAGAAAAACACTCCTTGTGTGGGACATAACCACAAAAGGGACTCTACCTAACAAAATAAAATATTTTGATCTGGTTGTTTGTACCCTCACATTAACCTGAAATAAATTTACTTAATAAAAAAAAGAAAGAAAGAAAAAGACTCAACTATAGCTTCCTCCTTTTTGTCTGTGTCTAAGTTTCCTCGAATAATCTCTGTGCTTAGTAGACTCATTCAAAGAAGCATTTTTTTCTATAGTCAAGCTAAATTCCAAGAGACTAGATAAATGTTACTGAGCACCTACTGTGTGCAGGGCCCCACACTGGGGGCTGCTGAGAAATGAAACACAGACCCTGTGTACAAGGAGCTCACAGATCTGTAAATGGATAATTCCAAGAACATCAGAAGTGTTTACCAGCAACCTCGGTCCTTGATTTTAATTAGAAAGAGACAAATGGCAAGAAAATTACTGTAGCTAAGATGCTGCTGATGATAATTGTTATTACAGGAAGCTGACATTTACTGAATACTTAACTATTGAAATCTAAGCTCTTCCCATGTATCCACTGAGACAGTCATCCCAAGTCCTGAGGCAGAGGTATTAGGAGCACCACACCACAGGTATGGGACTTCCCAAGTTACAGAGCTCCCAAGTGGTGAGCCAGGGTCTGACCAGGGGTGACCTGACACCTCCCCCAAGCTGCCCCCTGTAGTGGGGCCAGGCTCTTCCTCATGCTGATGTGTCCACACATACACCTGCCTGCTTGAGCTCATCTCTCAGTGACTCTCAGACCCTAACATTTAGCAGGTCCAAAATGGAACCTGTCCTTCACCCATTCCATCTCAGTAAATAGCACCACTGCCTACTCAGGTGCTGAGCCCAGAACCTTCCGCCACACCCATGTCCACTCCATCAGCTGTTGATTTCGCCCATTCCCAAACCCATCCACTTTTTTCCACCTCTACTGCCCCTACTTGGATCCCAACACCAACATCTAGCTCTTGGATAGCTAGATCAGTGAAGTAGCCTTTTAACTGTTTTTTCTGTTTCCATTCTCCTCCCCATCTAAATCAGTCTCTTATACCAGGTCAGAGTGAGCTTAAACCATAAATGGGACCTTGGTACACCTCTTCTTACAAGCATTCTGTGTTTTCCGGTGTTATTGAGGATAAAATCCAGGTCCTGACACGTGGCCTACTGGGCTCTGCAAGTTCTGGGCCACACTCCGCTACCAATCTCCCTCCCTCCTTCCCTCGGCACCAGCAGCTCTCCTCTTTCTTCTGTCCCTTCTGCAGGCAAGGTCTTTCCTCCCTCCAGGACTTTGCTCCTGCTGTTCCCTCCCCCCGAATGCCCTTCCCCTGGCTCTCTGTAGGCCTGGCTCCTTCTCATCCTTCAAGGGTAAGTTTGAATGTTATGTGCAAAGGAGGATGTCTCTGAACAGTCCATCCAAACCAGAGCCTACCCTCTTCTTGTCTTGACCTACCCCCTCCCAGGCCACAGTCACCTGTCACCTTATTAGCTCCTTTTGCAGTTTGTGACCACTTTGTTTGTGTATTTATTTTAAAAGTTTTTTTTTCTCCCACTAGCATGTCACCCTCCTGAGACAGATCACATCTATCTTGTTCTCTGTTGCATTTCCAATGGTGCCTGATGCGTGTGGGGAGACATATATAATCTACCATTCATTCTTTTAAAAAATTAATTAAAATTTAATTAACCATTAAGCATTATACATACTCATGGTGTACAACATGATGTTTTGAAATATATGTACAACGTGGTATGGTTAATAAATCAAGCTAATTAACATATGCATTACCTCTAAGTAACATATGCATTATCTCCTAATTAACATATGCATCACCTCATCTGTTTATTTGCAGCGAGGACGCAAAGTCTACTCTCCTAGCGATTTTCAAGTATATGATATATTGTTGACTATAATTACCGTGTTGTACAAAAGATCTCTTAAATTTATTCCTCTTTTTTCCCCAGTGAAATCTCTAAGTTTAATTTATTGTTCATTTTGGAATATTAGGGGGTACACGTTTTGTTTACATACTTCATTTTTGTACAGGTTGAGTCAAAGTTATACACGTAAGTGTTTCCTTCACCCAGATAG